TTTTAGTTTTTTGTGTAGTTGATTACTGAAGGATTTGTTTTGTATTATGCAGAAATTCAGAGAATACATGACTTACAAGAAGGATTACAACAGTGCGGTCCTTCATTTACTCCGTCAGCTCGTGAGGGATGCAATCCGCTTTGAAGAAATTGTTTCCGGATCAGCCGCAGGGCTCACCCACATTGATGTAAAAGTGGCAGATTTGCAGAGGATGGTAATGCAGACATGAAATCCTGCTTTTGGAACTTGTAATTTTTTACTTTCCTAACCGAAATAGGTACTCGATAATCGAGCTTTTCGGATTTGATTTGTTCTTTGCAGGCGCAGGAGTATGAGATTCTTGATCTGCGACCCTTCTTTACAAGCGCTAGTTTCTCAGGAGCCAACTTTGAGTTGGATGAAGAGCGTGGATTTATAAGGCATCACCTTGCAAGATGATGATGATGGAAAGAAGCACCAGCAAATATGTTGCATTAGTTTAAATGCAGATTATGAACTAAATCTCACAATTTTCATTTGCTAAACTATATGATTGCAAATGTCCTAATTTGCTCCAACAAATACAATTCAATTACTAATCTTATGCTTTTTTTCTTTCTCAAAAGGTAAAATTCAATACCAAACACATGTTGATATTCAATTACAATAAATAAGGGCACAAAACTAAAAAAGTAGATCCGAATGCACCGCAAAAACAGCCAACAACAAAAACAAAATTAAAGGAAAATTAATAAAAAAATTTGAAAACTTTGAGTTTTAAGGATAAAATAAAGAGTAAAGTGAATAGTATTAAGATTGATTTCTTAGTGTAAAATTGTGATTTTTTGTTAAGATAAACAGTATCGAAATCTTTTCGTTAAAATTTTTAAAAATTAAATGGTTCTAATTATGATATTCATTATAATTAAACTATATTTTTCACAACTCATGCATCGTCCAATATTATCGTTCCTACTTTATTAAAATTTCTTCCCTTCAAACGGCCGCCAAACAATAAAATAAAGAAATAAAATTTATTCTCCTAGTAAAGGAAAGCTTTCAAATCAGCTGTTCCAGTGTGTAGGCAAAATCGAAGGCGCGCTTAGGGTTAAGGCGCGACGGTCCTCATGGCAGGAACACGGTGGCGTCGAATCACTGACCTCCTTCTTCTTCTGCTGCTGATTGGCTGCTCTGCTTCCCAGATCCACGCTTCTTCAGAATACGAAGTCGATTCGGTAACCATTCCCTTCCATTTTCTTATTTATTCATAATAATCTTTATTTTTCATGAATGTTTACAGAGAATTTATGATTTACAGATCTTTTACGAGCCATTTTCTGAGTCGTTTGAAGGCAGATGGATTGTTTCTTCGAAAGATGAGTACCAAGGTGTCCAGTTTTTTGTTTGATTGTTTTAATATCAGCTATTCGCAGTAATTAACTGTTTTCTGTTATCTATGTTTTCCTAAATTGTTTTTCTGTGCAATTTGAGTCTTTTACTCTCCGAGTGTTGTCAAATTTATTTTTTCAGTGAATTTTGAGTGCTTAATTTTATTTATTTATGTCGAGTTTAGGGGTATGGAAACTGTCCAAGAGTGAGGGACATGATGATTACGGGCTTCTGGTAAGTGAGAAGGCGAGGAGTAGTATGCAGTGGTGAAAGAGATGGACAAGGCTGTGAGCCTTGCTGATGGAACTGTTGTCCTACAGTTTGAGGTCCGGCTCCAGAACGGGCTTGAATGTGGCGGTGCTTACTTGAAGTACCTCCGGCCACAGGAGGCTGGATGGAAAGCGGAGGAATTTGACAATGAGTCGCCATATTCTATTATGTTTGGACCGGACAAATGTGGTTCCACAAACAAGGTTCATTTCATTTTTAAGCACAAGAACCCCAAGAGTGGAGAGTATGTTGAGCACCATCTCAAGGACCCTCCATCCGTGCCCTCCGATAAGCTGTCTCATGTTTACACTGCCATACTGAAACCTGATAACGAAGTTAGGATTTTGATAGATGGGGAGGAGAAGAAGAAGGCGAATTTCCTGTCGAATAAAGATTTTGAGCCTGCATTGATTCCAGCCAAGACAATTCCTGACCCAGAGGATCAAAAAAGCCAGAGGATTGGGATGAGCGGCTGAAGATTCCAGACCCCAATGCCGTTAAGCCTGATGATTGGGACGAGGATGCACCAATGGAAATTGAGGACGAGGATGCTGTGAAACCTGAAGGGTGGTTGGATGATGAGCCTGAAGAGATTGATGACCCTGAGGCGACAAGGCCAGAAGATTGGGACGATGAAGAGGATGGTGTATGGGAACCGACAAAGACGGATAACCCCAAGTGTTCATTGGCACCTGGTTGTGGAGAATGGAAGAAGCCAATGAAACATAATCCTGCTTATAAAGGAAAATGGAGCCCTCCTATGATTGACAACCCCAGTTACAAGGGCATCTGGAAGCCTCGAGAAATTCCAAACCCTGATTACTTCGAGACTGAGAAGCCCAACTTTGAGCCCATTGCTGCTATTGGCATTGAGATCTGGACAATGCAGGACGGAATATTGTTTGACAATATGCTCATAGCTGATGATGAGAAGGTTGCTGAATCTGTTAGGCTAACAACGTGGAAGCCGAAGTTTGAAACTGAGAAAGAGAAACAGAAGGCTGAGGAAGAAGCTGCAGGTCTTTCCGATGGACTCTCAAGCTACCAGGTGATCTAATTTTTTTTTTTCATTTTATATTTGAGTTTCCTTCATATTGATTGATTTTTGGTATATCATAAGCTAATCAGTGTTAAGAACAAATACTTGCAGAAGAAAGTATTCGACCTTCTTTACAAGATAGCAGATGTTTCTTTCTTGGATGCATACAAACCCAGGATCATTGTAAGTGCTTGGCTTGCCATTGCAGCATCATAACAACTTTTTTCTCAAAGGTTATGCTTAATTGAATCGTAGAAGATGATAATCATTTGTTTTTGCAATGCTCACGCAGGAATTGATTGAGAAGGGAGAAAAACAGCCCAATATTACAATTGGTGTTATCGTCTCTGTCGTGGTTGTTCTCTTGTCAATTTCTTTAAAATCCTGTTTGGTGGCAAGAAACCGGCGGTGGTATACATCTAGCATAGATTCACTTTTCTGTAGTGGTAATGACTTTTGATCTCATAAACTAGTGCACTTGTAAACTCTTCTGCCCTGTGCTTTTCAGGTCACTGTTCCAGAACCAAGCAGGGCTGCGGCTGCACGGACTTCCCATGATGAAGGAAGCAGCGGCGAGAAGGAAGATGAGATTGAGAAAGAAGAAGCTGCTGCTCCTCCTCCCGCAGGCGGTCTGCCAGAAGGGAAACATGAGCATATATGTAGTATGTGGTTGTTATACTCGCAAAATCTTGAGATAGAGCCTACATGGCTTGATTTCCTGCTAGTATGTTTCCGAAACTTCCTTTTTTTACTTCTTATTAGAACACTTGTTTAAGTACGGATTAGCGATACTCTTGTGCTGATCGTTATTTTGTTGGAGGTAGATGTTGATCCACTCTGTATTAGATGTTGTTCCAGATGATATAACAGCAACATATAGATAAGTTAATCACCAAAAATCATCACATGTACAATAACCATCCTTAAAATGGTGGAAACAATTTGGGTCCTTGAGTATGATTTCTCGTCCTTCCATCCGGGATATAATTTTTGCAGAATCATGGCACCTGCGACACACCCGTAGGTTCTTAGTTACACGTATCGTTGTCCTGGATTGTGTACTGATGAGTCCGAAAGAAATAGCCAGCATTTCACTGTGGCCAGTCGGAATGCACTCGCGCTCTTCATCCACATCATGGAAACTAAAATCCGAATCAGGTCGATCTCCTCCGTCTTCCATTTTCTGCATCAAACACTGCAACTCCCAGTATATTCCCTGTGATCTTGGGTGCGTTACGTCCCCCGTCCCGAACACATGAATTTTGTTTCTGATTTCTGTCCAAGTATAAGCTCTATTAGGTCTCAAACCCATGTCTGTCATCATTCCTCGAACCTCATCGACCATGTCCCGTTTTGCATTTTCGGCATACCAGTTGGCAAGCAACACATAGTTGTCGGCATTAAGAGGTTCCCAGTCACAGAGCTGCTCGATAACCCGCCTTCCCAATTTCAGTTGCCGGTGAATCCTACAGCCGTCTAGCAGTGCTCTCAGTACCTCGGGATCTCCTTCGATCTTTTTATCGGCAATAAAGTTATTTGCCTCATCAAACAGCCCAGAACGCGATAGAAGAGTTACGAACAAAGCACAATGTGCAACTGTAGGTGTCTTGATGCAGTTGAAATAAAACTTCCCTTCCTCGACCATGCGTGCTGCACAACGCAAGCATGAAGGACAGCAGCATAGGTGATTTCATCGATCTGTATACTCGTTTCCTTCTCCATTTGGCAGAATAAATCTACTCCGATCTTTCCTTGTCCGTGTAAGCTGTACCCGGTTATCATCACTGTCCACGAAACAAGATCTCTGTACTTCAACCTGGCAAAAACTTTTGCAGCTGATTCGATAAATCCCGACTTGACATACATGTCCATAAGAGCATTCAGAACGGTGAGATTCATTCGAATACCATGTCGCAGCAAGAATCCATGAGTCTCTTTGCCATGTTTACCTGCAGACATTCTTGCGCATGCTGAGAACACTAGAGACCGAGAGCGGATCAGGTTTCACCCCGTCTCCAACCATCTGCCTAAACAGCTTAAGACCCTCATTGAAGCCTCCCCTCTTCACATTGGCATGAATCATTTCTGTCCAAGAATGACATCTTCTCCGGCATTTGGTTGAAAACTGCCCAAGCTTCGTCGCACAGCCACAGTCCATGTACATTTTCAAGAGGGTATTACACCAACACATCATACTCCAATCACGTTCCTTGGCAACCCTGTTGTACTTTGTTCCTCAATCAAACGATCTCAACATGCCACAGGCACCAGCCGCCGTCGACAGCTACAGAATTATCTGTGCTCCGGACTCCACCATTCCTCTCAAACACATGAAACCGCCTTGCCGGTTTACCTTCCGCAATGTACAGGCCTGGCCAGCATTGTCCATGAAACAGAGTCCTTACCAGGGACTTGTCAAACAGCCTTTCGCGGAGTCGCGCTTGTCGAGGCGACCGTACAACTCAATGAGAGCAGCAACCACGTACCGGTCACCAGAGCAGCCGAGCTTGTGAGCGGGCATGGAGTTGCTTTGCCGAGGGAGAGATCAGCCGAAAGCCGAGAGGCAGACAAGACGCGAGGGAGAGTGTGTCTGTCGGGGCGAACGCCGCGGAGGAGCATTTGGTGGTAAGTGGCGAGGGCGTGTGGAAGTCGGCATTGGCGATATGGGTCTGGATAAGTCTTTCCATGCGAAGGTGTCTGAGTGGGGCATTTTGTCGAACACCTTGTGGGTGACGGCTACCTTCGTGGTGGGTTTAGCATTTCGGGAGTGCTTGTAGTGGGCGGTGTTGATTGGGTTCTCGGTGACGATCAAGCGCTGGATTTGGGCGGATGGAAGGGCTTCCATTTCAGTTCAGTCGCACCCAATTCAGCATTGCCCGTACGGATTCGAGCGCAGTTATCGAGGAGGAGTTCTTTTTCGGGAGAAGAGGCTTTCCTTTGAGCAGTTAAGTTTGGTCAAATATCAACGACATGTCGTGCTTTTTGTCAGGTCACAAGTCCTAATAAAGAAACGACACCTTTGGGCGAAGTGCTTGGTTTCGGATTTGTGTGATTTGTGAGACATGATATTTGAGATAAAACATAAAAGATAGATAGTTAGATTGTTCAACTCGTTATGAAGGAACTCCAAAAAAAGTGTGTTTAATTGTGTCAAAAACGTGTCTCCGAATCTTAACACATTATACATCGGGTTGTGCTATCCACACATCTCTTTTAACTTCACATACATTCCTTGTTAATTTCTGTCATTTGATATTCTTCAATCTACAATCCGATGGTCGAAAATTAGAAGGATGTGTGAAAGTAAAAAAGAATATGTGGACAGCACACCATATATATATATATTATATATATATATATATATAAATGTTTACATACATGAATGAAACCGAACATTAGTGTAAACTACAAGCAGTTACTACTCTTTTTCTAACTTTTTAGGATAAGTTATTTTCATTTTTAAATTAGCTTCACACATAAAATTATTAAATACAAAATGATTTTTGACTTTTCAAAGTGGGATTTGCAAAATGTGGATTTGCAATCTATCAGCTGTGTGGATATTGATCATATTGTTGCTCATATAAGTGTCTCATCGCGGTCAAAAAGTTAGATTAGACAGACAATAGAAATAACTAAAACGAAAAAAAGTAAAAACTAGACTATGAACTACATTACACTAACCTTAGGATTGAATTTAGAATGTAAAAGACTAGTTGTGTTTGATCAGGATCCTCTACTCTATTCAATCTTGTATTATAGGGCAACATTAGCCCTTCTCGTCATTTGTCCGGCTGTTTGCTTCATTTGAAAACTTTTCTTCCGCGGCCCCAATCTTGGGATATGATTTCAACTTATTTTGTAAATGTCATCCATGTCGGATTGATTGGCCTCGATCCTTGCCTCAGTGAATTTCTCCTTGTGCTTATCTCCTGGACTTTTGAAAACTCGTGACCTTCTACTTTGAATCATTAACTTTGATTGCTTGGATTGGACATCAATTTACTCTTCGATCTTGGTTCTTGCCAATTAGATTTTCTAGGCAAAGATCTTATATGCAAGCATTCTTCGTTTCTGGATCACGGCTTTGACAAACATTTAATTTAAAATTAAGGCTTGACTTGATTTTTAAGATCAATTATGTAATGGCGCAATAACATGACTCATTTTCCAAAACATAGTTAATTTAGATTATGACTTCGTCTTGGATCTTGGCCCAAACCTACTAAATCGTACATCTCGTATTCCGCTAATTATTTCCAATTAAAATCGTAATTATTAGACCGAATAGTGTAAATTTGTACAAACACAAACAAAATTGATCGTTGAACCAAATCATTAGTGGTAAGGCACTAGATGAAGCTGTACAATATTGACCAAAAAATTCAAAAATATAGATTTGACACTAATAGTTCCAACTCTTTCTTTGTGCATGTATTCTCTTAGTTTTCTAGAAATACAATCTTGAAGCAAGTGACACTTGGCAAATCCAATTACCACAATATTCCATTGTTTTGCAGAGCATGGTCCACACAAAATATTTGAAGTCAACAAGCGTTGCAGTCATGAAGGAACGGCCTTAATCGGTCTTGGAATAAACTGCATTAAAATTATAGCCACAGGAAACCCCACGGGGCTCTAGAAGATAAGTAGAAAACAATCACCTCACCAACCCCAGTCAAATAATATGAATGCCAGAAGGCAAAAATAGGTAGGGGTCCCTGTAATAATATCAGTCTAGATTGATGACAGGCACTTGACCATGTTCATTTCATGTCCTTGCTCGGAAGAGAAATTTTTATTGTGATAGAACATGTTGTACATTACAATTTTTATACAGTAATGGGAAATTTTTTAAGTTATTAACTTTTTAACACACATATCCCACCATTTGTAATGACACTGATACGTTCTCATACACCAATCACACTGAAAATCTCTCGCTGGTAAGGCTAGCAATTGGATGATGGAATGGTATGTAGAACTCATGATCTAGAGAAAATATAGATAAAATGGTTGAATAGAATGGATTCATTAAATTCAACTGAATGAGTTACAATACTATAAATAGTACAATTAGCTTAACAGCTAAGTAGAATAAGGCTTAACACATACAGCACTAGTTGATGTCCTATTATATTCCTACACACCCCCTCAAGCTGAGTGAGAGACTCACTGAAAGCATGGAATCAATTCTGCAAACAGATCAGAGGGCAAGATTTTGTAAATGTCTGCAAGTTGAAAAGAGAGCAACATATGACACTGACTTTGCCACAGAACTTTTATCGAATATAGTGAAGCGATTTCAACATGTTATCCTGGCATGAAATACAGATTGAAGGCCAGTGCAATGCACTTTTATTATCACAAATTGCAAGAGTTTTGAGAATTAAAGAAAGTCCTGCAATACTTTACAAACCAATTGAGTTCAGTGGCTGTATTAGCAGAGACCGTACTCGGCCTCAATAGACAATTGGGCACAGTGCATTGCTTCTTGCACTCCAGATATGAGATTCAGTCCAAGAAAGACACAGTAGTACTAGTTTGATCTTTGTCAACAGGACATCCTGCCATCTGCATAAACCACGTAAGTTAGATATGAGGACCTTTAGTAAACCAAAGACCGGAATCAAGTACCCTTCAATATCGAAGTATCGTTAACTCCTGTGTGAATGTCCGAGGAGAATGCATATATACATACTTTATTAACAGCAAAGGCAAATTAGGCCAAGCATGTTAGATACTGCAAACCTAAATTGAGCGATAAATGTAGATCGAAGAATGCTAACCTGAGTGATCCATTAGCAGAACCAATAGGATGACAAGGCTTGACACCAATAATATCAGTTTTCTTTAACAATCCGTGCATATTTAGACTGATGCATAAATAATCCTTAGTAGACCATGACCTCAAATGCCGATCAAGTAGATATATCACTCAAGTCTTTCACAGGAACAGTATTGAACTGAGCAATAATGGACTACAGACTGTGCTAGAACTGCAGTGATTATGATATCATCAACAATGACCAAGAAAAGAATGGTGGAATCATTTTTTAAAACAGACGGTGTCAGATTAGGAATGTGGAGAAACAATAAGATTGCCTGTGAATGCTTCAACCGGCTCGATGTCCTAAAAAGTGACCTAAGAGAAACTCACAAGGAAAAAGGAAGGTAGAAAATTCAAGGGCACAAGAACAGTCCCCACGTTTCTTGTTCTGCAATTTAATTGGATCCAAAGGTTCCCAACCACGATCAAACATCAATGTGATTATATCAGCATGTGAAATTGTGAATGATATCAACATCTTGATTCATGAACTTGATTAAAGCTTTAAGTTTTTCGAGGTTTTGCTCGATTGATGTGAAGTTCCATTATGATTTGCAATGAGTATGATACGTTAATCCAACCGAGTGTCAATCTAATTATAAACCTACTCATCATTACAAAGGGACCGGCAAAGCCAACAAGTTACAAGGGAACCAGCAAACCTAGTTCACAGCTACACTTCCACTATGCTTGGACCACATTAAGGCATGTTTGAGATTGCTTCTTGTACGGTTAAGGCACTTTCTGACAACTATAGCGCTTCTAACCACATCTAGCAAAAAACCTTAAAATCACTTCTTAGTCGTAAAAGCGTCTTCTAAAGCATTTACTATGTCACTTCCAAGTACTTTGTCAAGAAGCACTTGGTTTTGTAATGAAACTGGACATGTTTATACTAAAAGCACTAATGAGCATAAGTGATTCCTACACAATTAGTCTCAAACACTTGGATTTTTAATAAAATTTGACACTAATACTGAAAACACTTGGACCAAAAGCACGGACAAGCAGAAGTGATTCCTAATAGTACAATCTCAAACAAGCCCTTAGTTGTTTGCACGTAAGACCAAAAGATGAGCCTAATTAAGCAAAAATATCAAAATGGGAGCCTAGTAGTAAAGATTAAGATCCAAGACATGTCTGCATTGCATAGATTGAACAAATAAACCTTGAACAACCCTCTGCTGCAGCACCAAGGAATTGCAAAGAAAGCCGAAACAGAGAAACAAAAATCCTAGAACTAGTTACGTTTTCTATCAAGCCCTCCGAAAAGGAATTCGAGATCTTGAAATCTATAGGTATAACAAAGAACCAGCAGCAGAAACAGGATCAAACCATAACAAAAAAACATAGAAGCCTAATCATTCATTGATAAAATGAAAAGTCAGTATCAGTTTTGCTTTTCCAACTTCGAAATGTGATGCCTCCAATAAGAGGCCTGGTTTTAAATAAAATAAAAAATAATTAAGGTAATTTTCCGCTCGGGCGCTTGAAGTAGTGCTTTGGACCAACTTCAACTCGACCAACACGGAAAGGTGAAAGCATCGAGGCATTGGGACTCAGTGAGCCCATATGTAGGCAGACTGATTCCATAAGCAACCCTCCTTACCTAATTTGAAGAAAAACTAGCCTGCAAAAACATTTGACGTCGTCGACCTCATGTTGCCAGGGCTGTAGTTTTACAGATGGGGCACAAATTCTTGTGCATCAGCCATTGTTTTATGCACTCGCTGTGGAAATCATGTCCGCATTCGAGCGTTCCAAGATCTTCTCCACCATTGTATTCCTCCTGCATATTAACAGTATATATAAATCAAGCATAGCAAAACATGAAAATGTAACACAGATTGAGCATTATGCGGTCATTACCTGGCATACACAGCATGGCTCTGTATCTGCCGAAGATCCTACTGCAATATACTTCTTATGTTTCAAGCGCTTTGATATGGTTTCTTCACTTAATCCAGTGTTCACGTTTCCGATACGCTCTTCCAGAGCCAATAATTCCTACAATAATCAGATTTTTATGTCTCAATAATCTCATTTCTACCAATAGGGGAGCAGACTGTTATTGTATCTTTTGAGGAAGCGGGAGGTTGGGTGAATCAATTACCTCATAAGACATGTTATCAACATCAAGTCGCATGTCTCTATGTCGGTCGTGAATATCTGCCACCCCAAAAAGGACTGACTGATCAAGAATCATAACATCCTGACACAAAGAAGTACAAGCGAAATGTCAGACCACAATTCTAAAAAGAAAATTCTCACATCTGTTAACAGCCTTTAGTTATGATATTCTTATTTCTTAAACATGAAAACAGAAACATTGAGTCCCCAAATATATAAGGAAAAGATATATATGCCTTAAACTTCCAAAACCAGAATCCCGTGTCGAGAATAAGGCATTTGTGCCTTATCAAGACAGATTCTTTTTCAAAACTGTGAGTATACTGAGGTGCTTCAATATAAGCAAATAAAATTCTAACCTCAAATCGCAAGCTCTCGCCCCTTCGCATGAGACCCAGGACATTGCAAATCTGCTAAAGAGAGAAGAAAAACTTCATCAAGTTTAGATGAATATCTCTTTTTCCCATAACTAGCAAAATAATATAAACTTAGCAGCATTAGAGTAACAGAAAACTTGAATAACAAGAATTATGATGTAACTAGTTGAAGATGACAAAATCACATAAACGGTTAGAAACATAAATGATTTAAAGGACTGAAAAATTTATCTTTTTTTTGAACATTCATGATTGACTAAAAGGATAAAGTGATTGCATATCCCGTATCATCGTGGTCATAATTATATTCAGACATCTGATGGTATCACATCAATAGGTGATTACGCACAAATGTGGGTTCTCCCTGATATTCATCAAAATACTTTAAATAAAAGGTCGTACCCAGTGCACAAGGCTCCCGCTTTACGTAGGGTCTGGGAGAGGTGAATGTCGGCTAGCCTTACCCCCATTTTATGGAGAGACTGCTCCCAAGTCTCGAACCCGAGACCTACCGCTCATGGGCGAAGGCACTTGCCATCGCACCAAGTGCGACCTCTCATCAAAATACTTTAAATAATGGGATAAAAAAAAATATTCTGAAAGAAAAACCTCAGCCAGAGAGAGTTCTACAACACACCTCAGATACCAGCCTGCTACTTCCTTCACCGCCTGCAGCAGCCAAAGTCCGTAATGAATATGGAAGTCCAAGTCCACCATCGCCATGTCTCTCCATCCAAGATGCTGACCTTGGGTGAGACCGATGATGACTTTGGTTACCAGTACCAGATGAACTCTCAACCTCTGGTGATGATGCAGGACCCGAATGCAGAGGCAAATAATTAGTGCCCTGACTCCCAGGCTCACTACCAGAAGCAGAAAATAACGATCGGCGAACATATTCAGATAATCTTCGAGGAAATTGCGGATGAGAATTGTGAGGAGGAACCCACGTAGGTGCAGCTGCTGGATTAACACCTGAACTTGTGCCAGTCCGGGATGCTGAAGCAACATTACCAGGAATACTTGCATTTCCACCAGGCAAATTTCTGTTAGATGCACCTGCAGGATGCCGAGCTGAATTTCTCAATTCAGTTGCTGGTACGAAAATAGGATGATCCAAAATGTGTCTGGCCATGCTTCTTGAGCTCCCTTCCTCACGTGGTGGAGGCTGTGGAGCATCTCTGTCTCCATAAACCACAGAATTTGATAAGCTGCCAGTTCTTGAGCTAGACCCTCCACTCCATCTCAACGATTGCACATTTTGCGGCAAAGCAGGAACATGGATGACAACTGGCTGGTTCTGTGAACTCATATTATCTAGAGCTGGTGCTGGTCTCAGGTCCATATTATGATCAACTGGAAGAAGACTTGGTGAATGATTCGAAGAGGAAATACTAGAATGCCTAGCAGCCCTCCCTGTCAAGAACCTATTAGAGTGTATAGAATTTTGCTGATTTGAAGGGTTTATCCTCACACGGAAGTTCCTATGAGTGCTTTCTGAGCTTCTTCCAACATTTGAATCAGGAAGGCTGTCGGAAGTAAGTGCTCCCCCAACTACTCCAAGTCTTGAATTCCCCGGTTCTGATGGAGTAGATATGCTAAGGCTGCTGACTGCATTATAGTGAGCAGGAACAGTCCTTCCACCACTGTCTGTATGCTGAAAGTAACTGCAACTTCCACTTAGAGAAGACTGCCCTATATTTCCCTCCATGGCCTTTCTTTTACAAGATACACGACGCCCCTCCAATGAACTACCCGATCTGCCATCATTCTCTCCCATTAAAAATCCAGCACTTCCAGAAGGAAGCATAAAGGAATTAGAACTGCTAGGAGGGCGAATTTGCTCATTTTCAGAAACATTATACTTGAATGTGTTAGGACATTCCATTACTTGACTATTATCACCACCATGGCCCGCAAAACCTGCATTCAAGTTCAGATTCTGTGGGATTGCATCAGAACTGGAACTTTGTGTAAAAAAAGTATTCACATTGTTGTCCAGTGAAAGGTTATTAGTTGATTCATAGTGTCGCTCCTCTATTCTTGAAGCAGCTTCTACACAAGGATCCACTGAAGATGACCATCCAAGATCTGGTTTCCGCTCATCAGTACTTGCCTCACTCTGTGAGTTGCTAGAACTAGGTTCACCTAGGCACCATCTACTCAAGTGTTGTCGCTCCTGTCCCATAGAATTCACAAACCCAACATTCATATCACCGGGTGATTGTACATAGTCCGGAATCCTTTCTGCAGGATTCCGTGGATTCCGTGTGCTATTCCAGCAAATTTGCTGATCTAGAGCAGCATCGTTTGATGCACTTCCATGGTCAAAATCTAGGAATTCAGGCAAGGAACCAATAGTACCCCTCTGCCCTTGCATTAGGGCTGATATGAATCTTCTTGTAAAAGAAACGTAAAGAACTTGAAGAAATCTTCAGTATAGATAATACGCTATTTGTACTTTGGCAGACCTGACAAAACAAAGTAGAAGAAAGGTTATGAAGTTTGAATATCTTTAAAGTAAGTTATAGGTGCAAAATTATGCTATAAAAGTAAGAGCAACAACTTTTTTCTTCTCTTTTATAGGTGAAGCGCAAACTTTCCACACAGTTCAAATTGTTCTCGGATATTTATGTGTTCCATGTGTGAAACACTTGAATGCCTAACTGAAGGAAGAAGCTAGAGTGTGAGTTGCGTTGCCTACTGGCAATGCCTTTCTTCATGTTACTCTTTTTAACCCCTCACTTATGCTTCAACAAAATGTTTTAACTCTAAGCTCTTGGGTGGGTGTCGTGGGAGCACGGCGGGTGATAGTTGAATCAAAGACTAGTATCCGTATTTGCAATGACACCAGAACACCTACTTGACCAAATGGGTAGACACACGCTAAGCTTAGACTAGCGACAAGGTAATGAAAAATCACCCATGCTATCCTGGCCTGAAAGCAGGCGAACACCAAGATAAAATGTTCATTATCATGTTGCTGCAGTAAAAGAGTGAATGACTGAATGCGCAGCTATATCAGGTAAAACAAGCATCCTTCAATTCATACAAACACAAGCATTCCCACATATAAAAAACCCCAGCCAAACCAACTCCCACAGCTAAAGCAAAGAATGATCGAAAAACTAAACCCGCTCCTGAAACACTTCCGAGGCAATCAAATTCACATATATTAAGGTACCCACCAGCTGAAAACATGAGACTTTAAAGCACAACAACGCAGTACAATCGAAAGGTGCAAGCTTTCGGACAAGCAACTGACCACACACCCGGTACACAATGAATTATCATCTGTATAATCAAAGAATGACTTATTAAACCTATTTGTAAAAATTTAGAGATCGGTTCACCCACTGAAAAGGTCAAATATGGATGGCCAAAAACCTCGAAAGCCAAAATCTCATTCCAAATTCCAGAAGCAGATGATATCAAAAGTGATTCACATAATCAAACGACAAAGGGCAACCTAGAACAAACAGACATCAAATGTTAACAACACAGACGAACAAAAACCCAATAACAAAGTAAGAATCTTGGGTTTGTTCGGAAAAGGTACAACATTTATATTTCCAGCTGCAGAGATTAAACACAAGAAGCACAAACAAGACCAAAACAAAACCCAGAATCCAAAAACCAAGTCTTTTCAAATCCAATCATATCAGCAACCGACCGATTGAAAACCCACAAAAGTTAACGAACAAAATCGAAAAACAAAACATACCCAGATGAAGAAACCGATCTATGAAAACAATCCGGAGCAGAAAATCGAAAGAACTGGCCCAGATAATCCGGGTGGGTGATGAAAAGACCTTTCTTTTGTTTATTTTTCTGTAGAAAAAAATAAATAGGTGAGAAAAATGGAAAACAAAACCCACTGAGAGCAATGGGGGTTGGGAGGAAAGGGAGAGGCCTTGGCCCTTTGGGTGGATGGAATGAAGTTGAAAGGAGAAAAGGAGAGAAAGAAATAGAGATTAAAGAGGACGGTAATCTTTAATTTACGAAACAACCCAGAGAGAGAGAGGAATGGTCATAGAGGGCAGTTTCCTAACAAAGAAATTGAAATTAATTGAATATTATAGAACATAATTAAATTAGATTAAAAACTAATTACCACCCACTAGGTGTTGGCGAGGAGGGTTCAAAAGGGTAAGGGGGATGTGTGTTGGAGTAGAGGGGGCCGCTTACCAAAATGGCTCACGCAGGTTGTCCTGATTTTTCCATTTTTTTTTTGGGTTAAAAAACCTAAAACTTGGGCTAGGAGTTTTATTATAACACGTTTAGTTAACCGGAATGGAAAACTTCGTGAATTAGGAAAGAAGATATCAGAAATATAAATGTTGTGAATCGGGAAAGAAGATATAAGACATATAATTATTTGCGCTTTTAATCAATTTGACGTATTTATCTTTTTTGAATCGGAAGAGTCATAAATTTAAATATTTATTTTGTCAATATAAAAGCAAGGATATGGGCTCGTGTGAGTAGGAAACAAAAATTATATATTCTAGTTGTATTATTAGCTATGTTTGAATCTAAAGACGAATTCTAGAGAATGTTTGATATCCTGAAATTTGCTTGTCTTTTTTGTATGATAAAGAGAGAAAAAAATTGGGCCAAAAGAAAATGCCTTTTTAGAGTTTTTATCAACAATTTGCTTGTGTAGGTAGAGATTTGATTTGGTAGTTTCATTCTTTCTTTCTAAATGCAAAGGTAAGCCATGAATGAAAGTGATACCTATTCTTGGTAAGTAAACTGTCTATAACATTTTCAAGTATTGCATTATGGATTGTAATTAGAAGATACATATTTTTTATTTATTTTATGTGTTACTAAACGCATAACTCAAGAATCAGAGTAATTGTAATCTTAGTGTGTTGTAAACATGAGAAAAGTAAAGCAGCGAGGTTGTAAGTTGCAACTTGGTTAATTAAGAACATTCTTTATTACACCATCGACTTGAGTTCGAGTTCTCTTTTTGCAATATTATTTGTATAAAGAAAATACAATCGCAAAGTTAATAATATGAATCATTCGAATCTTATTTTTACTTTTAAGTAAATATGTAATCTCGCTCAGAAGAAAATAAAGAAAAGAAAGAGGAAATGGCTCCCAATTGCAAGCCCCACAAGTGACGCTTTCACGCCAAGCACCTGTTGTTGGCTGTTGCCTCGTCTCCTATCAATATTATCACATTTTATGTCCTCCTCTCTCTGCCTTTAAATTTTCTTGAGGAGCCCTTTCTGAATTCTGACTTTGTGAACCTTTAAGCTCTGTTCGAGTTGTGAGTCGTGACACCTCACACCAACCCCAAGCGTTCAATGACGAGATAGGAGAATGATTTGAACTCGACGCAGTAAATTAAAGTAAAAACACTTTGTTTGTAATTTTACTAATTAAAAAAAAAAATAGAGAACTCACGTGAGTACACGTGGCATGCAGCATGCTACGATACAATGGACCAGGATCCTCTCCTGAGCTAAGGATGAGGATGGGCCGTTGGATGAAAATCCAACGGCTACAATTATTATAACTTTAAAGGGACTCTCCTATTTGTAGCCGTTGGATTTTCATCCAACGGCCCAAACCTCTTGATGAGAAGGATCCTCATCCTTAGCTCAGGAGAGGATCCTGGTCCCAATACAATGGGGTCTCATCTGTTTGTTTGATTTGTTTAGATTTTGCTCACCTTCCTAAAGATATGGCTTTTTGTGCTTTTGCAATACAAATTTTGACTGACTATTTGGGGACAATCTGTTTCTTATCTCTCACGGTTGGTGGAAGGAAAAAAAAGGAAAAACAAAAATCAGTGTTTTGGGTAAGAGGCAATAATGGTGCACCCAAATTGAGTTTTACCATAAGTTATGGGTCATCTAATTATTCTGTCGGTTCAATTTTAGGGTCAAATCAAAGGGTAGATAGCTGATTTGGTGCTTGATCAATGTCAAGACAGGAAGTGCTGGTTCAAACTGCTTATGTAGATTTTTCTTTTTTGTTAAATTTTTATTAAAAATTCAAAAACTTTTTATTAAAATTTCTACAGCCCATAAATGATTTTAAGTTTTTGTCTAATGTATAAATGCTTTCAGTTGTCAAAAAAAAAAAAAAAAACATTTTTAACCTTTCCATGAGTAGTCTCAAACTAATCTTAAGGTCTTCCACAATGACAAAAGTTGGTTTGATTCTTATATATAGAAATTAAGCACCTTGAATTTGTGGCACCTTGAGTTTGATCTCTATAAAATTATTGTAATAGTGGCATGAGTTGATAAATTTGAGCACAATCTATTAATTGTGAGACATGTCTATTTGCGTATCCTCAAATTACTGGTCAATTTTATGAGTTTGATTCCTATAAAATTGTAATTATAACTCAATTTTCTTGTCTATTATAGAACACCAGAGTTATTTGGTAAAATAGGTACATGTAGAATCAATTATCTTTTTTAATAAAAAATAGAACTAGACATTAAATTGTGTTATATATATGACCCTAATGCGTCTTGAGTGATCTCAGATTTGTATCCTTTAAGATACATTAGGAGGGATGACTTTTTAGTGTGCCGAGAACACGTTTCGCTATACCAAATATCATAATACAAGTAGTCTAACTACTTATATATGACACTTGATATATTAGTTTGTGTTTTCGGCACATTAAAAAATAGGAGTCTTTGTATTGATGTATGTGCATTGTAAAACTTAGCTGAAGAAAGAGGTGTGAAAACAAAGACCAATAAATGTCCCAATTAAGTATCCAAGCAAGGTTCTCTCTTTCTTCCCATAACTTGTTCTTTTATAAATCCTTCTCGCCTACCGTTCATATCTCAATCGTGGGCCTCTTCTCCTTTCTTTTCTTACGTTTGTTTTGGTTCTATTTGTTCTTTTGTTTTTCTATTCTCCTCTTCTCTCTTGCCCGTTCAAAGGTGGTTGCTTCGGCTTCGGCTTTGCTTTTTATCTTGCTCATACGGTTTTTGTATTTTAATTTGAGGCCACGAAAACAAGCTAAAGCTCCACCTCCATGTCGTTTCTATTTTTAATTTTTTATGAACATCGAAAACACAAGTCACGTAATGTGTCATTTCACGCGTTATGATAAAAGTGAATGATATAACTGATGTGTTAATAAAAAACAGATTCACACGTCAAATCTTAAGTAGAATAGTAATGCTCACGTATCTGTGTTCATGATATACAAAAGTAGTAGCTCGCCCATTTGAACTTGCTTATGTAACCAAACCCATCATTAATTATTAATAATAAATATCTTAATTTACTAATGGGATAAGATTGACGATTCCTCCGCCAAGGAGAATATTAGAAATTTTTGGTGCTTTTGAGATGGGAGAAAACTTGGAAAAGGCTAAAAACCCTAGGTACACGCCAAGGGGCTTTGGCTCAGTCCAGAAGATTATTTTTGAATGGTCTATAATAATATAATTAGGCTTCAATTATGCATCAAAATTCAAGCACAAACCTTAATGACTTGTGCAATTTCACATTTGCAATAAACAAAATTTGCTTCAAGTTAGTGGAGTGATGAGGTGAGATTCAAGTTGTGGTGGTTGTTGGCAAGTATGCATATATAGGAACTAAAATTTGCAATTAATCACTTAAATCTTTCTTGCTTCAGTTTCTTGAGAGGTATGTGGCATACCAGATAAAGTTTAGTAGGGCTGCTGTATTAAGTCTTATTCAGACAACTCTTTTGCTGGTAGGACTAAATTATAAGGGGATTTAATAGTTTTGTGACACGTCCATTATGAATGACTTGGTTGATGTGCAAAACCAAAGGTTATACTAATTTCCTCGAAAATGTGTTTTTGTTTTGTACTATATATTATTCTAAATTACGGAAAGGAGATGAACTTAAGTGTAAAGGAACAAGCACATTATCCTAGCTAATTGACTTAAGTTACATTTGATTAACGGTATGGTTGGGAAATCAAATATATGCCTAGGGAACAAAACCCATGATCCCTAGGGTTTGCAAATAACACAATTTCATCAGCTGGTGTGGGCATATGGGCAAAGGTGGGAATCGAATGTGGGATAATGATATTACACATGGAAGAAAGCTCTTTATATCTTTTTCCCTAATTTTTGTATATGAACACATGAAAGAGAGGCCAACTGGTGGGAGCTGTTTTAATAAGTACTTTTTGAATAAGTGCTTTTGAGCTGAGGGAGCAGGATTGCCACATAGCAAGGAAATGAGTTTCTGATACAATTCAATTTCCTCAAGACAAGATGATGAAATGTGGCACGAAAAGGACACACAGATTGCACATTTGTAAAAACCGAAGCAATGGCATTAAAGTCTAAACCAAATAATTTGGCTAAGGAGAGAGCATGCCAGTGCTTTTGTGGTTGATGGGGAACTGACATATCTGAAAAATATCAAAAAAAAAAAAAAAAAAAAAAAAGATTAGAGATGAATCAGCATTCCACAGAGTCCACTTGCAAAAATTTTGGGTCAGAAGCAATCACCAAAATTGACTTGTGAGGGCTAATTAACAAATGCAACTTCCTCCCAATACAATTTGAATGAATCCAGATTAATTTATGGTACCAATTTGTCAGCTTTTAACTTGCACAACTCATATAGTCTGGACTCCTAACTAAAGTTGATCAGTAATGAATGCATTTACCAAGCAAATCTTTTTTTATATTTAACTGTAGCTGAACCGAGATCTATATTGATAGTCATATTGACATTACGGTACCAAATTTTCGTCGTCTTCAATTTTGATAAAATTGTATGTATAAAACAAATAACATTTTTAATCAAGGTCAAAGACTCAAAGTCTCACGTGCCCAACGAGATTGAGGGATTTGGCCAATTGATCTCTGATGTCTAAATCAGTTTCTCTATAGAGTTTAGGGCTTAATTGTGTAGTAAAAGCTTACCAAAGATTGGTGAAGATATGATATTAATAGAGCTAGGGTTGGCCACATGTGTAGGGCTTTGC